AACCACACCAGCTGAAAATGTAACAAAAGTTACAAATTTGGTCCCCAATCAAACCAACTCTACTGGACTAACAGGTGTGAAAACACCCTTGGTCACAGACTCATTTAAATTGTGTGCTGCATGCAGAGTAGAAAAAAGCCTATAGAGTACAATGACCTCCGAACCTTTACTCCTCACATCTCTGCCCTGGTTTCCTGCCACTACCCTCCAGGAAGGACCAGGATGGGGATGGGATTTATTTTTCCTGGTTTCTCAGGAAATCCTGCTTCTTGTTCACTGCTTCCATTGGTCACTCTTGTAGACTGATCTATTTCTATCTTCAATTCCTGTTTTGTTTCCTTTCAGGAGCTGCTGAACGGCCAGGACTTCACCAAGTTTGCGTCGCTGAAGCCCAAACTGCTTGAGGCCGTGGAGGACATGCTGGCCAACGACATCGCCCGCCTCATGGCGATGGTGCGCCAGGAGGAGTCTGCTATGCCGAGCCAGACCGTCAAGGGTGGCGCGTTTGAGGGAACCATGAGCGGTCCGTTTGGCCACGGTTACGGTGAGGGTGCCAGCGAAGGCATCGACGAGCTGGAGTGGGTGGTGGGGCGCGACAAGCCTACGTACGACGAGATCTTCTACACCCTTTCTCCCATCAACGGCAAAGTGTCCGGTGCCGCTGCCAAGAAGGAGATGCTGAAGTCCAAGCTGCCCAACACGGTTCTGGGAAAGATCTGGAAGCTGGCCGACGTGGATAAAGATGGCTACCTCGACGACGAGGAGTTTGCCCTGGCCAATCACTTGATCAAGGTGAAGCTCGAAGGTCACGAGCTGCCAGCTGAGCTGCCCAATCACCTCGTGCCTCCATCCAAACGCCCAGGGAATTCGCTGCAAGATTAAGGAGGTCGGCCGCATCAACACTCATGTTCAGGACTCTCAGTGCCAAACATTCAACCACAAGCATGAACAGCTTCGTCCTCCATCATGCTGCGAGTCCCCCAGGCTTCCTGACACACTGGGACGAGGCGGCGCTGCAACATGCTTCACCAGAGAGAGACTGGAGTGTTTCTGTGGGGGGAGGGAGGGGATTATTCATATTTGTATGTGGGGAGGTGATGAAAGGACAGAATAGGTTTATGGAGTGAAGGGCCTGAATGTGGATTCATGAATCCTGTGTAAACATGTCAGTATACAGTCCTATTATAATAAGTTGATCCAAAGATATATAGTTTTGTTTTTCCATTTGGAGAGAGAGAAAGAGGAAATGAATTGAAACAGTTGTTAGAATTACTTTATATTTTTGTATTTCCTTACTGTTAAACTTTTACTCTTTCCAAATGCTTCCCTTGTTGTTATTTTGCCAGATGAATGAAAAGGAGTTCTGTACTGTGAGACGTGTGCTTTCTGAAGACACACTGATTTATGGTGTGTTAAAAGAAAGCCTTATTCAAAGCCTTTAAAGCTAATAAATATTAAAAAAAATAAATATTTGCTGAATTAACTTGAACTGAGTCACGGTCTTTGTGCTTTTAATTTGTTGCTGAGGTGTTTTTGTGTGTTCGTTTGCCCCCTGCAGGCCAGAAAGCCCAAAGCTGGCCAGAGGAGGACGTATAAGGTCATCTAACCATGAAGTTACTTCTGGCCGCATATTTCTGAACCAGTGGAAACGGGCAGACACTTGACATTCTCTAGCGGAGTCTGAGGACGCATGGAGATGATTTAGAAAATGTCAGTCCAAGCGCAGACAGAGCAACAATAAAAATAAACAGAACCGGAAGTGCACCCTGTAAATGTCTGATATTCATTAATCAAGTGATTCTCTTGGCTCTTAGTGCTGCCGGATGATTGTTTAGCCATGTAAACACACTAGTGAGGTTGTTCTCCCTCCACTCTGGCGTAGGGCTGAATCGCAGCTGAGCGCGTCAGTTCCCGCCTTAAAACAATGCTACGTTTCATTCAGATGTCCTACTCACGGTCACGCATTTTCTGTTTCACAAATGCCCAGTTTGCTCCAGCGTGACTCAAGGCTGTCGGCTTCACATGGTGGTCAGGTTTCACCCGTAAGAGTGCAGAGGCGCCCTCTTGTGTCTCGACATGGTCATTACAGGAAACCATAATTAAGGAATCATTTGGACAAATGTATTATGTTTGATCTATTTAGGGGAGAATCTACCCAGATTTGTTTGGGTTTATATTTATTTGGAGTTCCCTCATACCGATATGTCAACACCCAGGTCCTTTATAATCTCCCTAAACTATTCTGTGTGATTATGTGTGTAACATCATTAGCATCATTTGTAATTGTTACAGCAGTGTTATTGTGACTATTGATTTTAACCTTGCTGGAGGAACAAACTAAAATAAATTAATTTTGAAATGCAGAGTGGTATTTAAGTGAACTTTCTGAAAGTAATGAGCTGATAAAACTAAATTTACAGCAAACAAGTTAAATTTGTCATGTAAGAAGTTTTCCTACTTTGCTTCCAATGATCCTTAAAACTCAATGGTATGTTACTGCATTTCAGGCAGTCATCTTTTCTTCTATAAGAAACGAAATTGTTTATTTTCGTCTTTTGTTTGTCTAATATTGTATAAAAAAAAGATCCAGTGATAAAATGAAAAATCTGCAAGTATGCAATTTTTTTTATCCAATATTTGACAAGTCCTCAGAATAATCAATAGAATAATCAATTCCTAAAATAATCTTTAGTTGGGTGTACAGACCCAACTTAAATTCAAATTAATTCCCAAAGATGAATCAAATATCCAGAATAATGCAACAAAGCTAATGATTGTTACAACTCTATGGGCCATTTAAATGGATATTATTTATATTTGAGCCTGTATGGATAGTTTTGATATGACATAGAGAAAATCTGCTAAGCATAAGAAACATGAATTATTCGTTTTGTGATTTGAATAAAGCAAAGCTCAAATGCATCATCAAGAGCTCCTCTGGCAGGAAGCTGCTGGAATGGACACTGGAGTGTGAAATGACGGGCAGCACGACTACACATCTGTGTGTTTTTTTCTGTCCATCGTGTGTTTTCATTATGCTACAGTATATCAGTATATTTACAATGTTTCCTTTTTCCTGCCGTCTTCCATCGGAGCAACACAGTCTCCCCTTCCTGTTCACAGAGCTCTTCTCTCTGTGCTGCCATCTACACTCCTGTCACTCAGCGTGTCTCCGTCCTCTGGCTCGTCTTAGCGTCGTCCACGCCCCTCTGTCCCACTGACCCCAGCCGTGGGGGGGGACTGGGTCGGCCTTATGTAACAGAATCATGCGGTGGGAGCGCCGCTCCTCAGAGCCAGGTGAGGAATGAAGCACCTGCGTGTGTGAGAACCGATCATCTCATTAATGCGCGTCGCCCATGGCAACCGTGCTGAATTTAGTACCGGATGATTAATGATCATGTCTGTTTGTTTTTTACGCTTGAGGCTCTGATCAGATTTTGGTAGCTTCTCTTGGGGAGCTCAAAGTTTCTAGCTACATTATTGGTTTGAATAGAACATCTAAAATTAGAAATAACTGCGAAATTCAGCGATTAGTCATGTATTTTAGTCATTGGATCACGTATTAAAGCTGGAAAAGTTTTACTCAAATAAATATTTATTACGGTGACTATTAAGTCTTTTCATACCACTATTTGTTTGGGAACTGAGGTTATACATGAGTTGTTTCCAAACACTTTGATTTCATGTCAGAACAGATCACATATTATTTTCTTATGTAATGGTTGTAAAAACAAGCTTTTCTCTGAAAAATATATATGCAGCTCTGTAAAAAATGAAGAGCCCACTGCACTGAACTCCATTGAAACCCTCCTGGTTCTCCCACTGATGTCTGAACTCTACGAGTTAAAACATTTGAATTGTTGTTTCTAAATGAATATGAACTTGTTTTCTTTGTATTATTTGAAAGCACTGCATCGTTTTTGTCATTTTGACCATTTTCTGCAAATAAATACAAGATTTTTGCTTGGAGTTTTGTAGACATGTTGTCAGTAGTTCACAGAATAAAAGAACAATGTTCATTTTACCCAAATGTATACCTATAAAAAGGAAAGCAGGGAAACTGATAAGATTAAGTGGACTCTTTTAATTTTTTTCCAGAGCTGTATATATAGCCACCAACCTGATTTTCTCTCTTCTTAGGATAAATGCAGTGAACCTGAGTGAAGTCAACCTGCTGGAGCCTGAAACAAACACAGCTACAAAATCAGGTGTCATGTCAATTTCAACAAGCCCAGCAACAAATGTGGCAGTGAGGATACAAAACAACGAGACAGACAGTCAGTAGGATGAAATAGGAATATATTTTTGGTGCTTTGGACCCAGAACACATCAGAGTAGCACAAACAGACACCTAAAAGCGCTTCTGTGTTTAATAATGAGTCTGAGGGAGGGATTCACATTCTTTGAGGGAAGCTGAGGAAGTATATATTTTTTTTAATAAAAAGGGAATAGAGAGAAGAAATAAGTGCTCAGACGGCAGACAGTTTGGTGGTTTTAGATGAATTCATAATGAGCTGACGTTGCAACAATGTGGAAAATACAAGAACACACATTTCTAAGCTTTCAACAGAAAGAAAAAAAAACATTACAAAGTACAATAATTTTATATAATTTGAACATGGGTAAAAAAAAAAGAATGCAAGGGAGAATTTTCAATTAAAAACAAAATGTTTGTCTACATTATGTAAGTTTTTGTTGGAGTCTTCATCATGTTGTCCTCTAATGTCAACGAAGTTTGAGACAAAGTCTTTGAAAGAGTTTATTGAGGTAGGCAGGTGTGAAGTCTGGAGCAGCAGTGCTGGATTTTAAAAATGTGTCTCATTTGGCTCAGTTAGTCCCTTTTTGATTTCAGTTCATTCGGTTAAAATCTGCCTCAGTGAGGCGGCTCGTCTGCTGACCGAGGCGCTCCGAACGCCTCCTGGGAGGCGTAGGTGATGTACAGGAAGCCGTCAGCGTCTCTGAAGCGGGAGTAGATGTCCCCCATGCTGGAGGACATGGAGGACATGCTCCGCTCTGCCACCAGGAGGAACAGAGTCTGGGTCCCGTCCAGAGCGATCTTATTCCTGAGGGAAAAGAGACAGAAAGGTCAGCGGTAAAGGAGAGCTGTTATACTTACATTTAGGTCTAAACTGCTTCTAAAACCAGCCTAAGCACTTAAAAAGCCCACCTTGCTGTGTTTTGGTAATAATTTAAGGTTTTTTGGTGTCTGGAAAATGAGCCATTTTGAAAACTTCATCACCATCTACAATAACTCTTTAATTAAATAGGTTACAACAACATTTATTTCCCTTTATATCAATAAAGTAGTTTTGAATTTCAGTGTCATCCTACAGGCACTGCACCGTTACCTAGCAACGAAGGTTTACCTGAGAAGGCAGAGGAACTGACCCAACGTTAGCTCAAAGGGAACCAGAAACTTAGTTTTGTCCAGCAGTGGGAGGGTTTTCTTTTTACGTAACGTGTAAAAAATCCCCCAGAAAAAAAAAAAAAAAAAAAAATACAACTAATAGTTAGAAAGAACCTCCCAAAAAACATGAGTTTTGTGTGGAAAATTTCAACTCACAGGCAGCTTGTTGGGGAATTTAGACCGAATATTGCACACTTCATCTTTTCTCGTCGCTAAATACAAATGAGAAAGATAATTTTACACAATTTAAACCAACATTGAAGCAGCATGTGCAGAGTTTGGCGTTTTGAACCAATGCAACAGAACTAAAAGAGTCTTACCGAGGCACTTCCTCTGCTTGAAGGGCGTCATCTCCATGGATTTCTCAAAAGGAGCCATGTTTGCTCGTCGTTTGGGACGGTTTTGGAAAGTCCAATGGTTGGAAGTAAGCGAACTTCAGCGAGCTGCAGAGACCGCCGAGGTTTTATAACCACAGAGCAGGGAGGAGTCCAAAGACGAGGTCCTTGTCCTGGTGGGTGAGGACGCTGGAGACTCACACTGTCCTGCAACGGAGCATTTTCACATCAGCGTGAGACTTGAAAACAGCTTTTCAGGCACACAAGAAGAAGAGCATAATTAAGGCAGCCCGATCAGATGACTGAAGAAACTTCCTGAACAACCAGAAAAACCTCCCGAGGCCATCCTGAAGCTGAGAACTCTCGACCTTTTAACCTCTGCAAGTCCATTTTTAAAATGATGTGCATGTAAAAATCTGAAAGTGTAGCATCTATTCATATTCAGCTGTCCTGATCTGATACTTTGTAGAAGCAGCTTTTGGTAAATTTCATGCCTCTTTTTTTAAAGTAGCTGAGCTAAATCAGAGAAGATGTAGAGGTCAAAGATTCTCACTGGGATTTAATATCTTTACTTAAGAGACTAAGCTGCAACATTTTCCATCACATAAAGATTAACTTGTGTGTTTTCATTTAGTGTATGATTTTTATTTTAGAGAGACAAAAGTAATTTGAAAGGACACAGAGCTCCAATCAGATGGTCTGTCGTGGTGAAACACCGCCCTCTGCTGGTTGAAATTGCGAACAAGGTTAATTGCGATTTGCACTCGGGAACTTTGCCAAAATTTGTCCAACTGTTCTCCAACTGACCACTAGGGGTCAGCAGTGCATGGGAATAATGATATTCCCAGTAACTGGGATAATAAATGTACCTGCTGTCTAAACACGAACCGCTTTTGGATTCACTTTTATCATGGTTGGCATTCGATGTGTGAATTAAGGCAACTTTCTCAGCAACACAAACTCAAAACCGTCAGATTAAAATACTCACAACTTTTATCATTATTATTAATTAACAGTTGAACTAATGAATTTAAAGTGATGCTTTTCCACTGATGTGGTCAGTGGGTGGATTGAGCAAAATTATCGGTAATATTGAAGTTCAGATCAATAACTTTAGTTTCAGATTCCATCTTGAGATTTTATAGTTTCTCGTCTCTATTTTTAAATAAATGTTTCGATTTGCTTTCAAATGATTTTTTTTTTTTTACACTTTGTTTGTTTAGGGACACAAATCCTGTTAATATGTCATTTAAGTATTTTATAGACACCTGTAAACTTCATCTAAATTTTGTCTGAGGTTTGAACAAAACAACTCAGAGGAAAAACCGCACAAACACCTAAAGGTCAGAAGTTTTATATCAAATTAAAACAAAAAAACGTTTAGAAGTCAGCATTGATACCAAACATATCAGCCATGTTTTGGTATCGCATTATGCCAAAATATGCAGGATGGCGCGCCTCTAATCAGGGCAAACAAATGCATGCCACACTTTTCAGAAAATGTAAAATTTTCTTTTGACTTCACGGCATATATGCACGTTGTGTTTTTCATTAAACAGTCTTTAAAGTTTGTTTGTTTTTTTATTTAATTGAGAGAGACTGAAACGCGTGTTATTCAGCCAGGTATAGAGAGTACAATTCTCACTAGACTCCACCTCTGAGGGGAGGTATAGTCAAATCATTAGTATGTAATATTAAATGAATTAACAAAGATATTCTCCAAACAGCTTACTCTGTTGTTACTTGTGGTCAAATTCCTGCATCTATAGTCGGACATGCGGGGAGGTTTCTGTGCGTCCATTCGAAAATCCCGTCCGTCCAATCCGTACGCAGGTCCGGACCAGTGGCTCCTCCTCTCCGCCGCCAGCTCCCACATGTATCTCCCCTCTCCGTCTGTTGCATTGTCTCATTGGGGACGCAGCGCACGGAGTCCAGCGGGCTGATAGGGACACCGGAGGATGTCAAAGGAAAGTCGAGCCCGGGACCGATGTGAGGAATGAGTTGCTGAGGGTTTGGACTGATTGGTTCCAGTTTGGCTGCAGTCAGGGTGAGAGCTGCCTGAAGCTGTGCGGCTCTGCGCAGATGGCAGGGCTGCATTTCAGTCAATTAAAGCTATGTTAGTATCGTTCGTCCGGAGTTGCGTGGCTCTACCCGGAGCTGCACCGTAAATCCCGGTCCGAAGCCTCATTTCTGCCGCCGCCGTCTCCCAGGATGGCCGCACGCCGCGGCTGCGTAAACTCGCTCTGGTCGGGCACCGAGCGGGTCCGCATCGGAGAGCGCCTCAAAGCGACGCTGGCGGGGGTTCTGGAGCTGGAGGTGCTCCGGCGCAAACACCTGGAGATGGTGGACGCCGCGCTGAGGGAGCGGGCGCCCGGGGAGCCGCGGGCGGAGGAGGCGGAGAGCGCCGCGTCGGATACCGAGCGTGGCTCTGCGACATCCCGCAGGCAACAGGTCAGTCAGTGCGTCTGTCAGCTCGTAGCCCGGGTAGCGACATGACGGGGTTATTAAATATGAATGCGAGTTGGCGGTGATCTGCCAAGGAGCCGGTCCCTCTGCGGCTCAGTGGGCGGATTTTAGGCTGCGCCTGGAGCTCAACGGAGCCGCTTGAGTGAGACCGAGCCAAAGCTCATCCGAGCATGGAGGCTGGTTATTAGATTGAGTGGCGGTCACATGGAGCAAATGTCATTTAGGTCGGGGGAACCAGAACCAGCTTCAAGGTCGAGAGCAGACCCTGCTGGTCCATCTCGACTCTAAAGGTCACTTTAACATCCTGTCTGAATCTAAAGAGGCTAGAAAAAGGACTGATCCATCACTCAGCAGTTTTCAGATCATTGGAGCTTTATGGCTAAACTGATTTTAAACATAAAGTTCTTTGCAATAAAAGAACAGAGATGATTTCACTGGAATTTTTTCAAAACAAAGTGATGCGTAACTGTGAAGTGATGAAAAAACGGCACAGATTGCATAAAAATCTTGAACGTGTGCAGCCCCTCTGAGTCAATTCACTGCCAGCTTTTTGGGTTTTGTCTCTACCAGCTTTGCACAAGTAAAAACTGAAAATGCTGCTTTTTTTTCCTAATGCAAAATTACTTGATATTGGAAGGAAAGCATCACCAGCACTGCCTAAGGTTTAACACCCTGATCCAGCACACCTGAACCAAATGTCTGAATCCCGTCATCAGCATAACATTCAGCTCTGCAGAGACGAGCCATTCATTTGATTTTGAGAAAGGATGCATCTACAGTCGCTTTCTAGGAATCAACCAGGACCTCTGTGTTCGTTCTGCTGGAAGGTGAATTTCCGCTTTGCTCTCAGGTCTTTTGAAACTTCTAACAGGTCTTTTTCCAGGACCTTAGAGGGATTGCGTGTTCAGGTGTTAGTTTTCTTTCTAAATGACTTTCTATGTTGCTTGGCATCATGAAGATGCTGTTTTGTTCTATAAAAACCTCCAAAGCCTTTACAGAACAGCTGGATTCATCCTGAGATTAAATCACACACAGACGGATTCAGAAGTTGGCTGCAGTACAGAGGACAAATGCGAGCCACACTTTTCAGGGGTTTTGTTTGTAAAAATGTTGAAAACAATGTTTTGTTTTGAAAAACAATATCATTTTCCGTGAACTTCATAGTTTTGCTCTGTTTTCTTGTTGCATAAAAATGTTAAATTGTTTCCCTTTTCCTCCAAACCTCGGCCTGGAATAAATGCTGCTGTTTTCGTGTTGAGAATGAGGACAATGTAGGACAGGAATCTGTCCATGGATCAGTAAATTATTACAGACATCAATTTAGCTGATGACGGAAAGATGATGGTGGATTTTTGCAGGAAAACCTCCAGTTAAAAATACGGAGACGTAGTCTGTAAAATGTTAAAAAAAATTTGACTTTTGGTTGATTTCTTGATGCCATCGCAAACATCTCATTTTTAATCTAAAATAAAAAATAAGTAGGTATTCAAAGGTACAATATGCTGAATCACAATATCAGATTGCAGCCACAAAGCTTTGGTAGATATCTGTTAAGTTATTTCTGTGTGCCGTGTGTTCGTGCTCTGCAGTTGGATGGACTTTCGCTGCCCTGTTTGCCCACACTTGACACAGATTTATTAACGTTAAAGGTCATGGAGAGCGATGAGAACCTCATGATAACAGAAAAGATAGAGATAAGTGAGAAACATGGGATATTTGCAACAGATATCCTCAGCAGTAATATCACATTTGCATATTTTACTCATATTTTGTAGCTGAAAGGAAATTATTGATGCTTGGCTTTAGAAAATGCATTTTTATGTTTTTTTTTAATCAGTAAGAGCTTTTTAAAAGTAACTTCTACTGGATTTACTGTATGGTTATAAAATGCTGTTGCCTTTTTTTGTTTTGTGATTTTCTTCTTTTAAAAATGGATGACTTGGCAAAAACAGGAATACATCGATTTATGTTTGTTCTGAGTTCACCGTGTTGGACAGAAAGCGTATCGCTGCGCTGCTTTGGAGGAAAAACCTCTGGATTGTTTCCAGCAATCGATTAATTCCCAGGACAAAAATCCAAACATTTCTTTTTTTTTTTTTTTAGCTGCAGCTTAGGCAGATTAATCAGTAATAAATTCACTTTTTCCTTTTCTCGCTTTGGGAACTTCCTGTTCTGCAAAGTGGCCGAGTTCTGTGAAAAGATCTCCATGCAGGAATATTCCTGTTCACGACAAAATTCACCGTGAGGGCCGTCGTCTTTGTGGCTGAACCTCAGAGAGGATACAATTAGACAGCAGTGGATGTGGTGGATCAGTTCGTCATGGATTATCTCCGGATTATCTCTGGATCTGACAAAGCAATGACATTACAGCGCCGCTCCGTGTTTGCAGGTTTCTCTTTTTAGATATGGAATCAGCCACCGGTGGCTACAATAAATACCATCTCGCCGTTACTCTGAGCATCTGATACTTCATCACGGTCACTTTGAACAAACTGTTATTACACCGTGAGTCGCATTAGTCAGCAGCCTGCAGAATACTGATACATATAAACACGAGATCTCCTCTGCAGAGCGCTGCTTGTGGCCGCAACGGTACGATAAAGTCGCATCTCGAAGCTTGATTTCTGAACAGTGCGAGGTCTGAGAGTGGGCATCTGGATGGAAGCTCGTCTCCTTCTGTGCAGCCTTCCTCGCCACCCACCAGCCAACATCTTCTCCGTGGTTCCCCCTCCCTCCCCGCCTGTGGTGCGGAGGGATCCTGCGGGGAGGCCGGGCAGCAGCTCTCATTCTCACCTCCGAAGGGGGAGCTGCTGGCCGGGCAGAGCGGCCTGGCTCTCTGCCCTTTGCCCCCGTCAGGCCCTTTCCTTACATCTATGCAACGTTTGCATAAACGGGAATAAAAACAGTTGTAATTGTTGCAAGGGAGGACCATAATTAGGTGAAAAGAAATTACAGAGAAAAAGGAAGATTTAAAGTGCAGCGGTGGCAGATTTGTCTCTGTCATTTACTATATGTTGTAATCTGTGGGTTTGGTTTTCAAAAGAATCTTATTTACTCCAGGGTTTTGGTCTGAGATAGATCTTCCAGAAGAATAACTTTGTTCCAAAACAACGCTGGCTGAAGGAAGGAAATGTGCGCTTTGTCACTGAAACATGCTTCTTCTTATCTTTTGACTTTTTCTCACTTGATAGCAGCTTGAAGCAGCTCTTCTCGTCTTTGAAATGGGTGTCAAGGCCGAGTTGGAATCCTCATTGTTGCTTTTCTGTGTGCAAAAATAAGCGTTCCCTCCGAAGATAAAACAGAGAGATGAAGGGAACACGCTGCAGAGTCTCTCTTAATTTGCATTGGATGAAAAGGGGATGCGTCCACCTATAATAAATTCACTCATTTTAAAGGGTAAATCTTAAATCTAGAAGCAGAAAACCTAAAAATAAAAATCAACCAAAATATAAAAGGCATACAGACTGAAAATAAACTTGCAGGAAGCATCTCTCTGTAAAACACAATAAACACATATATGATGATATAGGGCAGCAGAGTAAATCTACCTTTTTGTTGTAAACACAAAAAACAATTTGTTTTTCTTTTCTGAAGGAAATATGTCAAATGGATGTGTGGCTCTGAGATTCCAAAGGTTAAAGGTCAATACTGATGTTTTCCCCCCGTTGCTGGAGGAGAATTGGGTTAGATTTCTGAAAGTGAGAAGGACGAACTTTTCCTTTAAAGCAGTCTCTCTTCTGGAAACACTTTTTGTTTCTGTATGTCTAAAAGAAATGAGACCTTGAAGTTAAATTGCAAAGCTAATGTGGCAACAAAAATCTTGCATGAACTGCAGGCTTTGTTTGTGAGCATAAAGTTTCTCAAAACAGAAAATGAATAATTTCCTACGGTTTTAAGATTTGAAAACATTTGTTGCCATCCATATCTTTTATTATTAAGTGAAGCTGTAACTACTGTCTAGAAATGCTCTTTATTTTTACCCACAATAATGAGTTTTTCACCTATGGTCCTCTGACTATGATGGTAAAAAAGCAAACAAATATGAGACAAACACACAGACATGAGACTGGACTAAACAGAAAAAGACAACGAAACATTACTGCCTAGAAAATAGAGACAATACCATAAAAATAAGCAATACAACACAACAGATACAGTTTCTTTAGTGTTGACAGGAGTTTAAATCAGCAAGCCATTCTTTCAGTAGTTTACAAAAGCCTTATAAATGAATCAATTTCTTTCCTGAGCACATCTCACTGCCAGGCCGACTGAGTAAAAGCTACTGAAGCCAGTTTTAACCTGACTTCATCCTCCGTGCTGGATAAATCAGCATATAATCTTCATAATAATTACACTGATGTGTTTCGCTATTCTGACCTCACTGCCTTGTTTTTGCTTGCGTTTATTAATTTTCTTTAACATATTTCTTGACTTTGCACGCAGAAATTATTGTGAATTATTAGCGTTGCACTTTGTTGGGAAAAATGCACACAAATCGTGTTAATATCTTATTAAAGTATCTCTAGCCAGGTATTTTCCTCAGGTTTTCAAGAGTTTATAGCATTTTCTTTTTTATATATATAATATGAGTGAAATTGGAGCAAATGATTTTAATGTTCAACATTTAATCAAGACAATAAACCAGTTATAGGGATAATTGCGGGATAAAGCCCCATCTCACAATTATGCTTCTATTGAGGGTTTTGTGTCCTAAAACAAGGAATTGGAGAGCGTCCCCTTACATGGGAGGGACGTTACTCTGACTTGTGGAGTGAGACGTCTTTTGTCTCTCATTTTTTTTTGCCTCTGGGGGTTTTTGGAAGGGAGTCTCTGCAGCTAACAGAGCAGCTCTGAAACGTTGATCCTTGCAGGTTCCCCATCTGCAGCCTGAACGCAGAAACGCGGCGTGGGCCGCCTTTATATTCCAATCTGACATTAATAATGCATGAAACAATAAATAACACGCTGCATGGAAGTTACAACAAGAAAAAAAAAAGGCTCTCCGCCCTGCGACAGCATCATCATCATCATCGTTGTGATCACTCTTCTTCAGGCTGTGCCGCTGGTGACGTCACGCACCTGTTAGGAGGAGGTGAATTGCATGTGCAGCTGCGTTATTGTCCAATCGACCCGCGCATTTTCTGCAAATTGCTCCAACGGGGAGCTGAGCTCCTCCCTCACATGGAGCAATATCATATTACAGAGCTGAGCGCTGACCTCCTATCCCTCTGCTGTCTTATAATCTGATCACTGTGTAAGACTATAGGCCTACCCCATAATGTGCAAAGCATTATGATGTCAGGGTGGTTTTTGTGCAGATGCTAATGGGTTCTTTTGCTGAAACTTGGGTTAAAGCAACCCAGAACGCAGGCTCAGATGTGCGTTCATGGCTCGGATGGGAGGGAGCGCGCGGATCCAGGTTCAGGATAAGGGAAATATTTCGGGCCTGCGTGTTGTGCGGCTCCGAGTCTGTGTGGGAGGCGAAGCGAGCAAGAGTTGGAGAGCCGTAGCTATGGTGAGTCGGGGGCAGCGGGCTCTGAGGATATTAGAGAAGTGGGTGAGATGGTGGCGGCAGCGGCGGGGATTATTTGTCGAAGGGAGCGTGGGGGGGAGGTGGGGCTCCTTCAAGATGCCCTTCTCTCCTCGCCCGGCAACCGCTTCTTCCCTCCCTCCCTCCGTCCGTCCCTCCTCTGTCTTCACTCACTCAGTGACTCACTCTGCTATTTCTCTTTTTGTTTTTTTCATGTCTCTCGCACTCGTTTTGGTCACCCACGAGAAACGTAAAGAGCTGTTAGCAAAGTGATAAGAGGAGAGGGGGGTAAACCTGAGCTGGATCAGAGGCTGACATTCTTTCACCCACTTTTCCCCGTCCATCCCCTCCTCCTTCCCTTCTGCCGGCTCTGACTGCTCTTTGTTACATCATCTGTCCTCTCCCATTATCTGCTGAAACCCCCCCACACACCCACACCCGCCCCTCGTCTCCTGTCACCCCAGCAGTGAGTCACTACCTGTATTGTTTCCTCAGTAACCACTCACAGTGTTGCTCTTGTTTGGGCTCGATCGGACTCATCCCGCCGCTCCTGCCTGGTCTCCTGGAGGGCCGGGTCGGGGATTTGGAGGGTGAGGGGGTTTACTCTAGTGAGCTATTACTAATCTGGTAAATGGAGGCACTTTGCTAACCTGACAGCTGTTATTCCTGCTTGTTCTGCTCAGAGTGGAGTGACCTCATCGGAGACATGGTCCTACACGTCTCTTCTCACAGATCTGTGCGTCTCTGAACCGTATCGACATGCAAAGTGAGCTCATTAAATAGTTGAGGAGGGTTTCGGTTTGTTTTCTGGTAAAGTCTCAAAAGATAAAGCAGAAATTAGTCAGTTTCAGTTTTGTCTTTATTTACTGAAGTTTCTCAGGGTGATCGTTATATTTTCTACTCCTGATGGCGCTCCAATTGTTTCCAAATAGTCCTACTTAATTCAAATTGGGTTTTTTTTTTGTCTGTAGTGGTCAATAATTTTCTTTTTCAGCGTATTTTATTGTAATTTCACATAGTTGACGCACAACAAATATAAAATATGAAGTAAAGGGAAAACTGTACATGGCTTCCAGTTTCTTTTTTTCCTCTTTTACAAATTATATGAAATTGGTAAAAGATTTCAGATCATTTTTTTATCTGAAAAAACAAAAAAGATCAGAAAATTAAAATATATATATATTCATGCAATGTCAACATCAACTTCTGGCTGCATCCCCTCAGCATGATGCTGTCACCTCTGTGTTTTACAGTGAAGATGGTGTGTTAGATTTCCATAATACGTAATGTTTGCTGGTCAAAATAAAACAGTTTTGCTGACCAGAGTTCTTCCTTTCACGTGTTTGCTCTTTCTAAAACTGTTTCAGGGACTCATACATTTGCAAGGCACTATGTTATTTAATCCTGCTGATTTTTATTTGTTGTACTGTGTGAAAAGCTGATTTCGTATTTCTCTAGAGACGAGGCTCTTAATGTGTGTGTAAAAAGCTGCCTGACATCTAAATGTAGGGGCATGTTTGAACCAGTTTTCATGGGAAGATGACACATCCAATTATCTTGGATGCTGATAGGGAGCACTATAAAGAGTACAGCCAGCTGCATGTGAACACTAATTTAATTGAGAGTGTTTCTTCTTTAGCACCAAGTCTCCGCTCTGACTTGCACAGTGGCCCTTTAAAATTTTAAAACATTTTAAAGCTTTTTCTGGTGCCTAAATGGGTCAAAAGGAATTGAAAAGTGAATTTTATTTAAAGTTAAACTGCTTTTTGTTGGGTGTACGTTTGTACTAAAAACTTCCTCAGGTCTCACACTTCTTTCTTCAGCTTCCTGAGCACAAGTTGCAATATATGTTGTCATGGTTCAGATCAGAAAATGAGGGCAAAAGCAGGAGAAAAAAAAGTTTCAAAACGCCTGAACAACTATTGATTAGGACCACTTTAAAAGATTACAAGACAGCCTGGCTCCTTCGAAGCAACTAATCTCATTTTGTTTTGTTTTTTTTGTTGTTTTTTTTCAGGCTGCCTTCCCCTCAAACACAATGGGGTCCGGCTGTCAGAGCAGTCCAGAGGAGTGTCTCTGTAATTCGGGGGATGTGACCGTCCAGTCCTCATCTGGCAGGGGGAGTAACTCCCGGTGGTCCACTCTCTCCTGGGACGCCTCCTCAGATATCCTCTCCCCTCCGACCCCGGACTCCAGCAGCGTGGTTCACCTGGACAGCGACTCCAGACCCAGTTCAGGTAAATACACACCCAAAACACACACCCCGTCGGACGCAGAAGTGGGAGATAATGACCAACGATTTGTCACCTTCTGGTATAAGTGAGAGATTTCCCATTAAACATTAACCACAATCTTTCTTTAGGTTTATTTACTTGAACTCTGGGTGACTTGGCCCTGACTTGTTCAGTTTCTACTTTTTTTTTTTTTACTGTCTTTGTCAAACTGTTTAAAAAGTCATAAACACTGGCACTCTCTTACACTTCTTAGTTAAGCAGTCAGTGCACACCCTTCTGCTGGAATTTTAATAATGTTTCGGTATCTAGAGGTGATGCATTTTTAACTAAAAATTAAACCTACGCTGGTAAAAACGGCCTTTTTCTATTTTTAAGGTTTCTACTCTGTAAGTGGGAGCTCTCTGTCGGACTCCAGCTACTCCGTGTCCAGTGAAGCTGCCCATGTTGCACCGGTGACCCCTGCCAGACCCCCAAAGTCGTGGGAACAAGTTCCTGCTTCTGCTGACAACACTGACACCCTGTGGTCAGAAGGTGTAGTGCAGCTGCAGCAGCCTGCGACGGACGGCAGCCCAGAGGAAACCGAACCAGCAGAGGATCCGACTGCACCTGCTCCAGATGATCCAGGTGAACTTTTACATGGTCTTGCAAAAGTATCCATGGTCCTTGGCCTTTTTATGTGATAGGCAAACACAAAGTAGTGTAGTAATCGATTATTCTACTGATTATTTCCACTGTTAATCAATAAACGTGACAAAAAAAAATGGACACTTTTTTTTTATTTAACCACTTAAGACTTTCCATACAAATTAATAACTCAGATACTTTTTAAATAATAAAATAAACATATTATTGTTTAAAATACAATAAAGTATTTTTTTAGGGTATGCTTGATCATTTATAGCAAATGATACATCTGCAGCTAAAATGTTTTGGCTCAATTACTCAGTGTGTTGTTCTTTCAGCAAATGAGATGTTTTAGTTTGTATTCTCCAGTTAACAATTAATCAGTTACTAAATTGGATTCGTCACGATTAATCCGATTAATCGTTTCAGCCATAATTGTAATGTTTGAAGACTCTCCCACCTGTTCTCTAGCAAACCTCAGGCTTTCACAGAAAATAGATTTGTCTTTTGCTAGCTAAGAGGCTTCTGAGGTGAGTTGTTGCACTGACGTTTTTTAGGGGTATCAGAGGAAAGTAGGGTAAATTTTTCTGTCACTACATTAATTCTCAACTTTATGTTGGTCCATCACATAAAATCTCAATCTACATTGAAGTCTGTTTTAATGTAATAGTTATTGCAAGCTTATATCTGCTACAACCTGGATGATTTAACTGAAAACTATAAAACTGTATTTATTCATGTTTTTCTTCTTGTCTTTACAGCTGTTCAGGAGATTGATGCCTCTGGTCTCAGCTTTCTGTCTGACCTTTGCACGGTGGTCGGTGACTCCCTGGTTTCCTTCATCATCCCCCTTCTAAATCCCTCTTCATCCCCCTCCTCTGTGCAGCTGAAGCCCCAGTTGGACCCCTGCTACTGCACAGACCTGGTGTCTCGTCGAACCAAAGAGGTCTACTCATATCCAAGCCCGCTGCACGCCGTTGCTCTCCAGAGCCCCCTCTTTACCTCCCTGAACCAAGAACAATCATCCTCCACAACTTCTGAAGGAGTCCAGGACGATGAGACGGCAGAAGAGAACCCTAACACTGCCCCTCTCCTGCCTCAGCAGCCTCCCACTCCGGCCTCTGTCACCCACCTAGAGCAGTACATCGCTCGGCTGGCTTGCCAGTACCACCAGCGGGTGAACTCCTCCACTTCCGATCTCACGTCACCTGCTGCTCCTGCTCCAATCCCGCAGAGAGGTCCTTGTACTCCTGGAAAAAGTCACGGCTCCACCCAATCTCTATCTGCCTTTGAGAGCCGCAATACACCCTCCACCCAGCCGGGTGGAAGCGCCATTCCTTGCAAGTCCCTGCTGGGAAACTCGGCCAGAGTCAGCCTCAGCGCTATGGGGAAAAAGGCCACCAGGAATTCAATCAACCTGGGTAATCTCCCTTCAGCGACCGGAGAAGATTTAAGCATCAATCTGCATCTCAACCTCAACTTGAACCTAGCTCCAGGGTTGAACTCTAACCGCGGACCCGCCGACACAGGCAACAACAGCAGCAGTGGAGCCATAAACAGTGATGTAAACATGACTTCGGCTGCGTCTTGCAAGACTCTGTCATCTGCCACTCCCACCCCAGGAATCAGGTCTCGTTCTCGGATCTCAACTTGTCCGAGCAGTCTGAGCCACCGCAGTTCCCTGGAGGTCCCGCAGAGCTCGGGAGCCACTCCCGGGTTTGGGTCGTCTTCCTTCTGTCGCTCGTTGGATTGGAGCACCGGCGCGCCGCCTGAGGTGGGACAGCCAGTTTTTGTGTCAAACACGGGATCGGCTCCTGGATCTCAGCGCAGCAGCTTGATCCAAGAGTCCTGCTCCAGTCCCAAGCTGAGCGAAGACTCCCCCATGGTGGGGGAGATCTCGCGCCTCTCGGGTCTGTCTCGGGCCGTGGTGGTGGGACTGATGGAGCAAGGCGTGGAGCTGGATATCGACTGCTTCCAAACGGATCCTGCGGGTGCGGTGAGGAGCCACAGTAAAACTCACCTGACTCCACAGAGGGATCCATTGCTCGACTACGGCAGGCTGATGGAAACCACCCCACAGCGGCCGATCCAGCTCTCCCTCAGTGTCACCCACTCCCCCCAGTCTCAGTCCAGCCTCACCCCTCCTCTCTCACACTCCAACAGTCCCATTCACCCATACCAGTCCATCCACATCCCTCCCCCGCCTCAGTATTCCTCACAATGCCACTACCAGCACATCCCTTCTCCGTCTGATCTTCCCTCCTCCACAGCCTCCTCCCCAGCTTCACACCCCACCCCAAGGGCTCGCTCTCCTCCTCGCCCCCTCAAGCCATCACCAATGGGGGCCACCCCGCTCTCGGTTTTCCGACGGGATTCCCCTTTCCAGTGCTCCCTGCCACACAACAACCGAACCTCGTCTTGGGAGCAAGGAGGACTCCAACCAAGAGGTGGCTCGCTCCGACATAGTGGGGGAGGAGGTGAGGGTGGGGGGAGGTGGAAGAAGGTGGAGAGAGACGGGCTCTACAGGGGGAAACACGCCTCCCATAAGCTGGTTAGGGCCGCTACTGTGAGCAGCTACGCCAGGAGAGAGGACTACAGCTCCGTTTGGGCTGAGGAGGCGCCCCACACACCCAGGAAGTCCTCCAGCAAACTATGGAGGGGCTTTGAGGGACGATTGTGGAGGAAAGAGTCTGAGACCGAGAAGGAGGAGATGGACAGAGCCGAGTATGGATATGGCTGGAGCAGGGGGAACATCGGAAGCTGGAGGAGGGAGCACCGACGACCCAAGGGATCTTCCGACAGGAAGCCAAAGGTTGATCACTCCCCCGTCTTCTCCAGGTCGAGAGGGAAGGATGACGGGGAGAGGCGCAGCTCCAGCCTCCGGCTCTCCAGGAGGGCTCTGTTCAGGAGTGAGTCGCAGGGTCTGCTGGTGCCTCGGAGCCACAGGGAGGAGCTGGCGAAGAGGGGCCACTGGGTCTCCTCCTTCGACGTGGCGCAGGGCGGCACAAGCAGAGACGAAGGCGTCAGACTGCTGAGAGCTACGGAGGAGCACAAACGGCTGTCCTCCACTGCCAGCCTCTTCAACCTGTCTCGCTCCCAGAGCCTGGAGGGCAGCTGCCAGTCGCTCTCGTCTCTGTCCTCGCCGTCGTTTTCCCCTTCCCCTCCTCCACGGCTGCCGCTGCAGCGCTCTCGGTCACTGAGGGATCTGGGGAGGAAGGTGTTCGGCTCCATGAGGTCTCTTAGTCTCAAACGAAAGCCATCCAAGAAGTGACACTTGTACAGCCAACAAACCTCATGTTACATTCAAAACACCGTTTGTGCTTAGTATTATATCTGATGTAAAGGAAGTGCCATCTAGCTTTGTTTGTTAATTATTCAGATCTCTGATGCTGCCTTTAGGATCTACATGAAAGATCCTCTCTGGCACATAGTCTTTCCAACTTGCCATTACAATATCTTCATTCCTTCTACTAATAATCTGGTAAATTTGAACCATATTGCCACTTCTGATATCCTCACAAACTAAAGGAAAAAGCGACAAAATGCTAATGGGTTACTTTGTAGCTGCGTTTCCATTATAAATGTTCGAGAATGTCAAAAAAACACAATCTCTTTCTTATTTATTCCACTAAATAAGAAAGGCAATTAAAATCACACATGGATAAGTTTGTTCACATAAGTCATTAAAAAACCTCCCGCACCTTGATCATCCAACCACTTCCTCTTCTTCTTCTTCTTCTTCGTGGTTTGCACCGGTGGCAACATCCGGTTTTTGATCATGTGACTTGTGTGACGCAAATAAGCTATCTAGTTCAGTTTTGTGAGATAAACCATTTTAGATACAACCAAAAAAAAAAACAAAAAAAACACCATATCGTAGCGGCAAAACTTATCAACAAATGAGTTTGTTCGAAATTGACGTGTTTCCATTAAGCAAATTTATTTTTAAAATGTCAAATTGCACAATTATATGGTAAACGAAAACAGCTTGTGTTTTGGATCAGTAAACTTATTTGTTGGGACTCCTGGTAACGGTGAGTAAAATTTATTGCAGCAGCACAATTTCACACCAAACATTTAAATTTAATATATTTATTGGAGAAGAAAGATGCATATTTGTCCGGCTATTTTAGGCAGTTGATACAGATCGACTTCGTTTTAAAATTGAACAAATGTTTGGACAAATGTATGTATTTTAATGGGGAACATTAGTAACAACACAAAGATTATATATCACAATTTTTGCTTTCTATTTAGTAATTTTTCAGTGACTTTAACTCCAAAGCATACCTGGCTTCACCCAAACCTGCATTTAGTTGATTTGACTAAATAAAACAAAAGTTTCCCAAATCTTTTCCTTTTTGCTGAGAACAGTTCAGAAAGTAAAAGTCAGTGAAACTACCAAAGATATTTGGAAACTTAATGGCTTTCCTTTAATAAAACAAACCCATAAAACTATTCTTATGTTTTCATTCTAATAATTTTCACAAAAATATTGCAAGATTAAGTTGTTGAGCCGGTAAAATAAATAAAAAAATTCACAAAACATTTTGTGTTTATGATTTAGAAAAATAGGTGATGCATTTGCATTAAGAGGCTCTTAGAACATTTGATCAGCATAAAATAAAAATTAGTACAAAATGATATATGCTTAAATTTAATTGATTTTTAGGGAAACCAACAAATGTACTGGCACTGATTTTAACAAACCTTTAAGTTTCAAACTGTAAACTTCTGTCTAAAAGTAATATTGTTTAAATTCAGAGATGATTTACAAAAAGTACCATAAGTTAACCTAATTACTTAAAAAAGTAAATCACATTAAATAATTTTTTTCTTATCTTTTAGAATAGAACTGTGCTACTGCAATAAAAATATTAATGCATCTTCGCCCAGATTTGTCTGAATAACCAATTCATGTTTGTGAATACTGACCAAATAACTTTTTTTTTTTTTTTTTTTTTAAAACAATGCAATGGAGGAAATACCCAATATTTTAAATATGTGTTTTTACTGGAGCGTTTTGATGTTTCAACAAAATCAGATGAAAAAAAATCAACTCTGGGAAGCTTTTGTGGTTCAGTTTTATCATTCTGAATATTAACTCTACTAGCTATAAAAAGCTTAGTTGCATAATACCCCAACTCCCCTGTAACCATGAGAATGAATGTGTGCACACATACTCCCCGCTCTGCATGCTGCTCTGTGACTCGTTCAGTGATAATAGCTGTTGTGAGGATGTGATATTCTTTAATAATTGGCAATACAGCCTCTGAAGTACAATCACATTGGCCAGATGATGACCAAACCCAAGCAAATACTCTTTAACTTGATATTTTGCTCAGGACTTTGAAATGAATATTGAATTATTAAAATAATGAAGAGTTGTATGAGAATAATTTGTGGCATATGAGAAATAAAATAAGCTGATAAATGATGTGTGTCTAAAATATGTGCATTTTATTTAAAGAGACAAACTAGATTTTTAAATAAAATAAAAAATTCTGGAAAACTCAAAAACCAACATTCCTATTACTGAAGAGACAATCATAGAGGCCTTTTGGTAGTGCATAAAGAGTCACTTTGACGTTCATGAGCACAGATTACTTGACTTTCTTCATTTTCATGTTGCTAGGAAACTAACTCTTCTGTCCTCTTCTTTCTATTTTCAGCCGTGACATGTTTACTGTCCTGCTCGTTGCTTCCCAGCGGTCTGTAATCTGCCGAAACCTTAACATTCCTATTTCTCCTTCAAACTCAAAAACCTGTCAGCATTACTTTTCAACAAGTGTGTATTTTCCTCTCAGGTGGTCCTGTCTGAGGTTGAGGTTTCGTTTGGCACACTGAGTCCGTCTAAACTCCGTCACCGGCTCTGTTTGGGGGGTTAACCCTCTCCGCTGTGCCGTCCTTTGAGCTGGAGGAGAACATGCCCTGATACATGGCTCTCTCTTTCTGCAGCTCCCGGTTTAGCTTCTCCTCTGCCCTCTGCAGGTGCTTCCTCACATTAGCATCTGTGGGAGAAAATAAAAGCAGTTTCAGCATGCTCTACGTTATCCCACAAGACAAAATTAGACCAAACATCCGGTGAAATCAAATCAGTCAAAACAATGATTGAATTCAAACCATGATTTTTTTTTATTACTGTAATTTTTTTTTATTTAAATTAAGTGTGTAAATTACTTGTATTTTTTAATTTATAGTCGAGGAAAAGTATTTGCTTGAATTTCTTTACATTGCTATCTGTAACACAACATGAATTTCAGGCATTTTATAGGAATTTAATGTTCAAAACCAACACAAACTAGCACATAAATATGAAGGCGAAGGAAAAACATACATTGGCTACAACACTGACATTGCTTCTCATCTTTAGTTAAATAACCCACAATCCTTTGCTGCATCACTATCACATGACCAGACTCCAGAGACACAAACAGCAACAAGATGGAAATAAAGATTGGTTGTTTATAGCAGCCATGTTATTGGCTGATTCCAATCTTAACGCCACTATGCATCTCTAAAAAACTTGTGAAAAAGTTTGAGGGCTACGAATACTTTTGAAGAGCACTGGATATAACACCTTACTGGCTTTCGACTGCAACTAAAAAAAATCCCTTTCTTGGATAAGGTCAGCTTTTAGTTTACTTTCATCAGAAGAAATAAGACAAAAAACTAGCAAGCATTAATCTGATCGAATTTTAATTCCTCCAGTTTGGTTCGAGTATGAAAATATACCCTTTATGGCTAAAAATTCTAAGTTGATAGAACTGTTTACTTGTAAGGTTTAAGATGGTAAATATAAGATAGAGCAAGCATTTTAAACCAGTACTTTTATTTGGCATTGGTTAATGAGGTGAAGTCATGACTAAACTTCCACTACATAGAGTTAAAAGCTAAAGAATCAGGTTAATTATTTTATTTCTGTGGCCATTCTCTCTTGTCCTCATTGAAGTATTTTTATTCTCTTCACATCTACCCAGTCTCTCAATGAAATTAGCTTTTTGTTTTAGTGAATGGATCTTAGATTTTCTTTATTTAAGCCGGAGCTTTTTTTTGTGTATTAGTAAGCATTACGTCTGCATGCTTTATTAATTTTAATGCAGTCATGTAATAGAGAAAACCCTGTTTAGTGTCTCTTGTGTCATCCTAACCCACTCTAAAGTGCTGATTTTTATCGATAACTGATCATTCATCAGATATAGTTCTAAAGCTGCTGTGGTTGAATGTCCCACCATGACTCCATTCCTACCATTTGGTTGCTCTTTGCAGACCTGGGTGAGGTATTGTTTGGCTGTCTGTGCGTCTCCCATCTCCAGAGTGGCCACCCCCGCCCGGTACAGCGCCTTGACGTTTCCTGGCTGCCACTGCAGCACCCGCAGGCTGTACTCCAGGACCCGAGTGGAATCCACCTTCTGTTTCTGCAGCAAACAGGCTAAAAGACACAAAAGGGCTTCAAATATACATCCACCTCTCCAGCTGAAACGCTGAACCTGGAGCAGCTACTGGCTTTATTTAGTCCTGATGTTTATATACCAGCTAGGTTGTTGTAGCAGTCAACTTGTATGTTTCTAAGTAAAGCCTCCTGTTCCAGTGAGAGAGGAGGTTTCTCAGGTCCAAACCCTTTCACTGGTGCCATCACAGTGGAGTCGAGGCCTCGGAGCACCAGCAGGGCGCGGTGGTAATGACCAATGGCAGAGCGAATGTTTTTCTGCTTGTAGAAAGCATTTCCTTTGGTTTTGAACTGGAATGCTTCTTCCAGCAAAACCGAAACGGGCTTGGCAGAAGTCTCCCTGTGTCCAGCAGGACCCGCTTCTGCTGCCACTGCCCCCTCCACATCAGGATTATCATCTGCTCCAAAAGCCTCCATCTCTGCTGTGCTGCTGGTCAGCTGTGAGAGGAGGAGGAGAAATGTGATTAATCACTTTCTGTAAAGAGAAATAGACAATCATTAAACTAAAGTTTTATTTTATTTCTTTTTGTCACCAATAATATTGTGTGATCATAGCACTTAGTTTAAAGAAAAAAATAAATAAATCTTATCACTCCTCTATAATATACTCTTATTGTTCTGCCCAATCAAGATACAGTCAATACATACAAAATGTATCAAAGGAAAAGAAAAACAATACTGTAAACTAAAGTGAAAATAAGTCACCTTTAAACATTCCTTCCCGTCTTTTTGGGTAAAAATCTATCACTGCATTAATTCATGACACCTTAACCGCAATTAAAACATACCCACTCCCAATCTGGGAAGTGCACTGCACCAGTTAATTCCAATAGCATAATATTGGTATTGAATCATGATAACGTAAAAAGGAAACAGTAAAAATGTAATTCAAGCAGAATGCATATGTACACGTGAGAGAGACAGACACAGAGAGAACAAGAGAGAGAGAGAGAGTGTGTGTGTGTGTGTGTGTGAACAAATCGTCCGTTTAGGTTCCTTTAATCATTTCAATCCGGGTTATTTTCCCCGTAACCAGTAAAAGAAAACCTTAACGGATTTTAACAGTTTGCTGTTACAGCTGAGTTAGTGTTCACATGCTAGCTTCGGCTCCTCAAACCCTATCTCCAAGAGTATTTATATTTTAATAGACTGGGGAGTAACATCAATTGAATCGTCTTACCTTGTTGTGATAATTAAAATGCAAAGAAAAACTTATTTCTATAAAATGACAAACATATCTCAGCTCGCCAGTCTACCTATTTTTGCTTCCGGCTCTTCTTCTTCTTCTTTTTCTTCTGGACTCTGGCACTACAGGTAATCGTGATGCTGCCCTCTAGTGTTCGTTGTCCACATTTTATGTCATTTGAGTTTTAGTGGTAATGTTCAGGAAATAATAATTCTAAAGATATGAGAAAGTATCTCACACTAAAAGTCAGAATTTACACACTAGACTGTGGTTGAAATTGGATTCCATACTTATTGATTCTCTTTCATGTACTGATATAAAATTTGATACAAGTTGGGTTATATAATTTTTCATATGAATATATAAACCAATTGTACACACACACACACACACACACACACACACACACACACACACACACACACACACACACACACACACACACACACGCATTCGACGAAAGTGCGTCGCATGTATTTTCATTGTGGGAGGTAATAACGGTCGCTAACGTCTGTGCGCAGGCGCAGTGGCACTTCACACAACCGCAATAAGCAAATATGGCGGCGGCCGTCGACAGTGTTGTGAAAGTGTAAGTTTACCTTTATTTGTTGTAAGAGTGTAAAGACAACCCACACTGAGAGTCGTTTTCATTTGGTTGGTTATCGTTTTACAGCTGAGCTTGCCGTATTTTCCCACGGTCTTTCCTGTTGTTCAATACAAAAATTGTCCCAAGAGAATTACGTTATCTTTGTGCTATGGTTAGCTTTTCTAGCTTTGGGCAGTTAGAAAGGAGCTGAGCTCATTGTGAAGGCAGCGTTTGGGTCTAACTCCATCAGTTGCGGGTCTGTTTACAGTGATTTTACAAATAGTGATTCCGCAAGGACTTAGACCGCTTATTCGGGATGAAGAGACGACTTAATTCTTCAATAAACTGTCCGATTGGCGGGCGCTTTGTTGCTAACAATCAACCTTTTGTTCTGGCAGCAGTCCGTCTCTACTGTAAATGCTGGCTTTTACTTTGAAACCACGAGACGCATTGCGTATCCTATAAATAAGTGTGACTTTAAATAAATAGCCAAAGACTGGAAGTACAGTAAAACACGGATGCAGCAGCCTGTTTTTAGGGGGAAAACTGGGAGTGAGTGAAGACTGGCTTTATGAAGAAAGCGACCCTTGTCCTCAGGCTGCTGCTACTTCAAAGAGAACTGTTGTATTCCCACTAATGTGGTAAAATTACACTAATCAGGCGAGATCACATGAACTCCAGTGAGTGAGAAGATCTTCTCTATCAAATACGCTTTTCATTTAACCGGT